AACTCTCATCTTACACTCATGTTGTGTCTTCATCAAATGAGTTGAGTTTAGGACAGTCTAATATTAGTGAACCTTCATTCACATCAGAGATTGTATCTATGTCTAAGGAGGAGTATAATCGACTTGTTTCCAAGTATGGGGTTTCTACATCTATTTCTACTTCCACAACCACTTTGGTCCAGTCAAGTAAAGCATGATTGCTATTCCATTCATCTACACCGTCTCCATGGGTCATTGATTTTGAGGCTTCTGACCATATGATTGGTATGAGAGTGCATTCTCAAGTTTTCATCATATTTCTACTCACCAACATGTTACCTTAACTGATGGAGCTTCATCCTTGGTCTCTGGTGTTGGCACTGTGAATCCTACTCACCTCATTGTCTTTATCCTCTCGCTTAGTTTTACATGTTCCTAAATTTTATTCAATTTGTTTTATGAGTCAACTCACTAGATCTTTAAATATTCAGTCACATTTTATTCCTTCTTATTATGTGTTTCAGGACCTGATGAGGAAGATGATTGACGGAGGTTATGAAGACATTAGTCCAAATTGGTCATCCATATTTGCAAAATCTTTAGTAGTAGTTAGTTCTTCAGTTGCATTAGTTGTCGTTTTTAGATTGTGAGTCATGTTAGTTAGGTAAACATGTTCGGAGCACATTTACTCCCAAAAATTGTAATCACTTCTTTAGCTTATGTGAAGTTGTTCATTTTGATTTTTGGGGTCTTAGTCGTCTTTTTTCTTATTTAGGGTTTAAGCATTTTGTTACATTTATAGACGATTTTTTCCAGATGATCTGGCTATTCTTAATGAAAGATCGTTATGAATTATTTTCTATTTTCATAGCTTTTCTTATGGAAATCAAGACTCAATTTGCGGTGTCTATGCGCACTTTACAATCTGATAATGCAAAAAAAATATATTTCTCACCCATTTCGTATTTTTTTCACTGCTTTCACTGCTCATGGCTTGCTCCATCGCACTTCATTAAGTGGCACCCCACAACAAAATGGGATAGCCGAACGAAAAAATCGTCATCTCACTGAAGTTGTTTGTGCCCTCTTCGTTCATATGAACGTCCTTAAAGTTTTTTATGGTGATGTTATACTTACGGCATGTTTCCTAATTAGTGTAGCCTCTGTTCATCAGTTACATCCAGGCATAGATAAACTTGATTTTAAATCTATCAAGTGAGTTTTCTTGGGTTATTCATTCACACAAAAGGGTATAAGTGCTATAATACAACCCTTCGTCGTAAGTTTGTTTGTGCTGATGCTGCATTCTTCGAGTCTGTTCCTTTCTTTTCTGAAGGTTCAAATGATGTTGCGCTCAATCAGTGTCGCCTTTCATTGCCTCTTCTTATTTTGTTTACGCCCACTTTCTCTCATCCTGCAAAACCTCCTACAACACACAGGTGTACTCTCGTCGCAAAAAGACTGTTGTTCTGATGTCTTTGCAACTCTCTTAGTTGTCTGAAGGTCTTGATCTCCTGCCATCTGTGGATATCGATCTTCTTATTGCACTTCGAAAAGATGAGCGCTCTTGTACCCTTCTCACGAGTTCTACAGCTCATTCTATTAAATAGTTTATTTCTTATGATAGCTTGTCTTCCACCTTTTGTTGTTTTACTTCATATTTTTTGTGTATTTCTGTTCATTATATTGTTCATGAAGCTCATGCTCATCCTGGTTGGCGTCAGGCTATGGAAGAGGAGTTCATTGCTCTGCATCAGAACCAAACTTGGACACTTGTCGACCTTCTTCTTGAGAAGAAATTAGTTGGTTGTCGATGTGTATATGTTATCAAGTACTTGCCTAATGATTCCATTGAGAGATTAAAAGCCAAACTATTTGGCAAGGGTTTTACTTAGATGTATGGTGTAGATTATGCTAAAACTTTTTCACTAGTTGCAAAGATTTGATCTGTTCAGGTTATTATCTCTCTAGCAGCTAATTTTCAATGGTTACTATTTCGATTAGATGCCAAAAATGTTTTTTGCATGGTGAATTGACTGAGGAAGGTTATATGGAGCAATCACCTGGGATTTAGTGGTTAAGTATGTCGATTAAAAAAGGCAATATATGGTTTAAAACAATCACCTCGAGCTTAGTTTGACAAATTTAGTGAAGTAGTGTTAGACTTTGGACTTGAACGATGCCAAGCAGACCACTCGGTGTTTAGTAAGAATTCTGAGTTTGGCATGATCGTTTTAGTTGTCTACATGGACGATATTGTTATCACAGGGAGTGATAGTGAATGTGTTATTGCTCTAAAAGTATTCTTGCAGGATAAGTTTCATATTATAGATCTAGGAAAGTTGAGGTACTTTTTTAGAATTGAGTTAGCTAGATCCAAGAGTGGTATTAGTTGGTTTTAGCACAAGTATGTATTGGATTGCTGAAACAGAACTTATAGGAACAAACCAATTGATACTCCTATGAAATCTAATACAAGACTGACCAGAGAACATGGGGAGTTATTTAAACATCTGGAAAGGTATAGACGACCAATGGAGAAGTTGAATTACTTGACTATTACAAGGCCATATATCTCTTTTGTGGTTAGTATTGTAAGTCAATTTATAGAATTTCTAAGAGTACCTCATTCAGATGCCATGATTAGAATTTTCAGATATTTGAAAAAGGCTCCTAGTCAAGGATTATTATATAGAGCTTATGGAAATTTACAAGCAGGCAGTTTTATTTATGCGGATTGGGCTAGTTCCCCATCAGATAGATGATCTACAACAAAATATTGTATATTCATTGGAGGGAATTTGGTGACTTGTAAAAGTAAGAAACAGAGTATTGTGGCCCAATCTAGTGTCGAGGCAAAATATAGGGTAAATGGCTCAGACTACGTGTAAATTGATATGACTAAAGAATTTATTACATGAGATTGATATTCCAATAACCTTTCCAATGCAATTATTTTGTGATAATCAAGCTGCAATTCATATTGTTTCGAATTCAGTTTTTCATGAACGAACAAAACATATTGAAATTGATTGTCACTTTGTTCATGAGAAGCTTCAGTCTAAGAAGATTACTATGTGTTTTGTACGGTCTGTAGATTACGTGGCAGATATTTTCACCAAGTCACTTAGTAGAGATAAAATTGGTATTCTTTGTTCCAAGTTAGGACTATTTGATATCTTTAGTCCAGTTTGGGGGGGAGTGTTAGTGAGTTAGGGTTAATAGGATCATCACCCTATTCTGTATGTGTTACTATGTAACACTCTGTAATCAATTGATGTTGGTTTTTCTCTTCCTATTCAATTACATCTATCTCTCTCTCTCTCTCTCTCTCTCAATATTCTCAATATATTGTTATCAGTGATGAAATTGTAAGAATAACATCAATAAGAGATAAATTAACGCTCGACTTAGGTGGTTTTAGCATAATCCACACCACTTCACTCTTTTTTCGCATGTAACCCTAGAACATAGTAAACAAACAAGATTCTTATAGCCGACTCTATATAGTTGGAATAAGGCTTTGTTGACTTGAATTATATCTACCTTTTCAAATAGCTACAATGTAATATATTTGTTTGAGCATAATTGTTAGAATCTTATGATATGTATTTTACGATACATATTTTGCGTTATGAGTCTATGGAAAAACTCTGTATACCTTGAAAAGATGATACACACAAGATAATTTTCTCTGTTTTTACATTATTTTTGAAAAACGACATACCTTCAGATACACGTTTTGAAAATCTTGATCCTGAATATATTTACCAATTCTGCACTATATATGGAAACAGCTTTATACCAGATTGTTGTCAGTATCTTTCTATCTTGTCTCTTGTTTCGCAGCTCAATTTGGTTTTTTATTGTGATTCAGGTGAAACGGTACTTCGAGTATGAGGATCCTAACGGAACTGTGCATGAAATCTGGCGCCAAGTTTCTTTGAAACTTCCCCATATTAAATTGATTATGAATCGTGACAAACGACTTGTGAAGAGAGACTTGACTGAACCAGACTGTTCTTGTCTCTGTTCGAACCAGTCAGGGATCCACACCACTTTATAATTGTGCCTTCTTTTTTATGTCTGTAATAGTGCAACATTCAACATTTGGTTCTACTCCCATCAGAAAAATCATAAAGTTATCCTCTATACTTTGTCAAGAGAACCTTTCATTTGTTGGCATTGGTCGGGTAATCAGGCGGCATCAACAGTTTATTATGGCTAGAAACATGGCTTGTATCCTGCCATCTACATTTTGTTCATTATTCTCAGTAGAGATGGGGTAACAATTTCAGTTCATCATGTAATAAGGATGTTTTTTTAATGCTTTTTGTTTTTAGTTAATTTTTTTGACTAGTGTACTCATATTTGATACATTGATAGTCATAGAAGTTGGAAGTATGATTTCCTGTTGTAATTGTACTTGGATTGTGTATATCATAGTATAAAAGATGCAAGGAATTAAATTCAGTTGGCTTGTGTCTTTAAGTGTGTAATCTGAGGACCCCTCTTCTTGGTGTTCTGCATTTTTTTTATTTTTTTGGTGTTGATTGTTTTTTTTTTGGGGTGTACGGATTTGTGGGTTAACAATTCTATTATCATCAGCTGCATCATGTTTGTCAACGATAGAGTGCTGTAACAGTGTTTTTGTATTTTTTTTTTTTAGACGTGTCGGTGAATGTTTTCATTTTTTTTGTTACTCTGTTTTGAAAAAAAGGACAAAAAATGCAAACATAAAAAAATTGTTTTCAAAAACTCTTTGAGCAAGATCCTCTTATTAGAACCGGATCAGTTGGACCGTGAACTAGGGCATAGATCGGTCCAGTTCTTGAGTTGAATCGCTTAGGCAAGTGAACCGGATGTTAACCGTTAAACCAGCTGGTTTTTGCTGAATCTGGTGAACGGGATAGTTTGTTCAAACCAGACGGGGTTGGATTGCAATTGTTAAAAAAAAAAAATCTATTTTGAGCATTTTTGCCCTAAATTCCAGCCTTTCTTCTTCAAATCGCTGCCTATTCATCTTCAACTTGGTCTTTGCTGGGTCACCGCCGAAGCTCCGGAGGAAGATTAACGAGGTCAGCTCCTTGTCCTGCCACCCGCTCTCAATGAGGAAGATCAATGAGACAGTGGCCTCCCCTGCTGTTGAGGCAGCAACCAATAACGTATTTTTTTTTTTGGGCAAGTAACCAGCAACAACAACAACAAAGCAAAGAGAAAGAAATCCAAGGGATTTAACCCATCACCCACCTGGGAAGTTGATTGCTGATACACATATACACACACGTTCATATAAATATATATATATATATATATATATATATATATATATATATATATATATATATTTTTTTTTTTTTTAAAAAAGAATTTTACTTTACAAATTTTTTAAGTTCAACGTTAATGATCTCCACCTTTAAAAGAGTGGATCCACTAAACCCTTCTGCCTTCTCTATCTGGCTCAGAGATATGGGATGTTTCTGAGGGTGGTTGCCCCTCTCTGGAGCCATTGATTTCACCAACCACAAAATCAACAGCCCTCCCCCATTCGAACAACAACTAAAAAATCAACACCTCTCTCTCTCTTGAGCCTCATTCTTTGAGCCAGATAGAGAGGCAGAAAGGTTTAGTGGATCCACTCTTTTAAAGGTGGAGATCATTAACGTTGAGCTTAAAAAATTTGTAAAGTAAAAATTTAAAAATATTTTAGGTTACAGAGTGTCATTCAACCTTGTTTATATTTATCTTTTGTTCTGTCCTAATACGATTTACTCTATGATTACTACTTTATATGGGTAGTTTGTTAATTTTTAAGAAATTAATGTGACTGTGTGAGTAGTTTGGAGTTTTAAAGTTGAACTTTGATATTTGGCACATGTGTTTTTTTAACTTAACTTCATTAATTTTATGGCAAATTATATACATTTTAGGCATATTTTATATTTTCTAGCTAAATTATTATGTTTTATATTTATTGTATATATATTTTATATTTTTTTATTATATGACCGATTCGACTAATTGACCCAACGGTTGAACCATTGACCTGGTCCCCTTGCCAGTTCAATGACCGGTTCAATTCTGATAAAATTGCTCCTTTTAATGATTTTTCTAAATCAAACCCTGTTAACAGCAAAAAACAATACTTTTCCTTACCAAATAAAAACTCATTCGCAGCTACCTAAATTTTTCGTTTTTTGAAAAATAAAATTGCTTCTTAAATGCAGTTCATTTAAAAGTCACCTCCTGATCAGCTTCTTAAAAACAGTTCGTTACTTGACCTATTTATAAAGCTAAACTCTATGAATTGCCTAAAATAATGGTTAACAAACATGGTCTTGTAGCTAGTTGGGAAAGCAAATTGGGGTCTAACAAATGAGTAATGCTATTTAAGCCCAAAAAATTGATTTAATTTATCAACATAATAATGTAACAAGTAATAATATTCTGTTGAACTGTCACTACAACATCATTATATCAATAAATTAAGTCAATTTTTCAAATCTCAATAACATTATTCCTCGCTTACTTAATAATGTGCCAATGAAGTGATATAATAAAATTATTATGACCGTAACTGTTAAACTTTTTTATTGAGACTTGATCATTTGATATATCATTATGTCAACAAATTAGACTAATTTTTTAAATATGAGTAACACTACTCTACGTCTTTGTGCCGAGCAAGACGCCAATAGCATAGCTAAACCCATTGTGAGAGGAAAAGAGAAAGAAATGGTTCTTCGGTAAATCGTATTAACTACAAAATTTGCAATGAAAAACTCCATAAATAAAAGAAGGGACAAGAAGTCGATGGTTAAGGCGATACCTATTATACTACAAAATGAGTTGGAGACTATCCTCATTGGTGGCGACAGGGAAAGATGACTATTTTGAAAACTATTTTTACTATTTTGTTGGGTACCACAACAGTGATAAAAACACTCATAAATATAATAAAAACAACCACAAATGTGATAAATAAAAATATAATATTGAAATTTTTTTTGGTACCGTAATCAACTCCCTCTCTTTTTGAGAGAAGATATTCTGCCTCACTTATCTATGAATAGTTTTCCTTGTCTTCTTTAACCTTCATAGCTTAGTCTAGACCTAGGCATCTCACTGTGTGGAAAGACTCAAAATTATTTACCAAAATACAGCTCTTTTAAAACATATACAATACCAAAATAAACTTCTAATTAGATAGTAAAAAAAAAAATATGATAGCTTCCGAATTTTAGCCAACCCCAAATCACTGGGATAAGGCTATCTTGAGTTGAATTTTGTGAAGACTGATAGAAACTTCAAGGGCACAGTGTATCCTAAAGGTCACCATACCTTGGCAAAGAATCTCCATTTCAGTCATCGGATCTATTACTGGATAAATAAGAGCAAAATGTGTGCCCTTTTGTCCCTGGGCAGTTTAAGGAAACAATTTGCTGCAGCAAGCATTTTATGTCAGAAAACACAACTGCAAAAAGCCTGGCACAGTAAACTAGTACATGAATCCGACTGGGACCCATTGTACATATGTGAGTCCCTCAATATTAACTTGGCGGCTGATCTACCAAGAAGGAAAATGAAGAAAAAATATATCGGAGAATCTGACTCCTATGAACACTATATCTTTAATGTATGCGGTTTTAATACATTTGGTTTAGCATGCTTCTAGGAAACAAATCTTATAGATGAGTACAAATCAGCCAACATTATAAACTAGAGTTTAAATTTGAACAAAACAGTCCTCATTTGCAAGTACATGCCCAGAAAATTCATCGATCTTTCTATGGTAGCAACGGTAGTTCAATCATTGGAACAAAAGATCCCGAGATAAAAATGGACAGATGGGAATATGAAGAAACATGAAAAAGGGAAAAGAAAGAAAAAAATGTCCTGCATGTGTACCTGATCTTTAACCAGGCGGCCATTTCATCTCCCTCCCACCAAGAACATGCAAGTGGAGATGGTACACAGATTGACCTAGAGAGAGAGAGCAAATACAGTTATGTATTGGTCAGTCCATCGAAGTCTATGATAGCCAAAAATACAGCAAAAAATTGAATCTTTGACTGGTTGAATTGATGTATAATAAGACTTCTCCCCCAATCCTAGATAATCAAACAGGGCGCTGTGTGTGTTTGAGTGTCTGCATGCACGAGAGAGAGAGAGAGAGGGGGGGGGGGAATGAGAGAAATTGAAGATAATGTGATCGTAACTTACATGCAGTCGGACCATTGTTGATAACAACACGAAATCCATCAAGGATACCTTCTTTCTCTGCCACTAATTTGGCTGCATAGAGAAGATTACCCAATATCTCTCCATGCCTGGATTCAGCCTAACAAGTGATAAGATACAATCAAATATTGAAAACCCAATTCAATACAAGATCCAATTATCATGGCAACTAAAAGTGAAGTTTATCACTGTTTTATTGCAGTTGGTCAAGAGAGCTTACATAGCCATGCAGTATTCCCCAAAAAGAATGTCGCACAATGTTTTGTAAAATCATTTAGGAGATGAGTACAGTTAAACACATATATTTCAAGTTTTGTTTAATCTACTTGGCAAAAGCCTCGAAATATTTGAGATTGTTCTATTTCGTTTGGACACATCAGTAGAAATGGCTAATGCTATTGCTTTGACCACTATGCCTTAGTTTCAGAGCTCAAGTAGTCAAATTCACAGTGTTCATTGATACCATAGACTCTTTTATCATAAGTATGCTCCAAGGGGAAGAAGGCATGGGCTTTTGCTAAAACAAAATTAACTAAATCAAATGTCACACAATTTTAGAATAGAAGTATTAGTGAGCTATAGTAGTAACCATATGGGACCTGGAATGGCCTCAGATTCTCAGGTAATAGATTAGGTCAAGGTAGTCAAAACGCGTATTACAAAATGTATCATTTTTCAAGAATAGTGTATCATGTATCATAACGTCTCGTGTACCGGATGATAAACTTAATTTTAAAAGGTATACGAATAAAAATATATACCAATAAATATATAAAAATATAGTGTCTAAAATAATATGAATATCATAAAAAAAATTCATTTTAACATAAATTCCACACAAATAAATAGACTATAAGGTCCAAGACAAGAGATGTGTCTCTGCGATCAACCAAACATAGTAGGGCAAGGACTTCATTTTATATACCCTAGACAATGAAATGACCTATTGTGGAATGATGTTGTTTCATTGTCTAGGCTTTAAAAAAATTAACTCTGAAACGAAGTTGTTTCACTATTAGAAAGCCGAATTATTTTTTTTAAGCAGTTGAGTGTATCAGACAATTACGTATCATTTATCACACGATACGGTGCAAAACCAATATAGTTGGGTGATATATATTGTTTTCTTCATGTATCAAAACATATTGTACAATACATGTAGCGTTCGGTACTATCAACCACGGATTAGGTATTTAAGTAAATAATATGTTGAAGGAGTGGACCAGGGATGCTATAATAGCGCTGAAATCCATAAGCATGCATAAAAAGTGGGACAAGAAAGATGCACTCCTTTTTGAGATTACTTCTTTAGTCAATCTGATATCCTTGCTCTCTCAAAAATGGTAGGCATCTCCAAATGGAATATCATGGGTTGTAAAATTTAAGGCAACAGAAAAGGAAAAAGTGCAAACCAAATGGTAAAGATGAAATAAGTCAGGTTTGGGAGTAGGCAGAAAAGTGAAAATTCAGGCTAAAGACAAGAAAACTTGGGCCATTGTGGGATTTTAAAACATTACTGGAACGATTTGCAAGATGTCCGAATAGCTCTAATTGTTGGTCTATATACAGGAACATCATATACTCTAAAGAAATCAATCAAAGAAATAAGAGTTATTTCACAAACGTCACCAAGTTTTTAAAAAAATGGGCATTCAGCGCAGAAGATGATATTCAATACTAATGTTGTGCAAAACTGAAACAGCATCCAATTCAAGCATCTAATGGATATCAAATGCAACATACTGGATTAGCACCATTCGAACAAAGAAAGCGAGTGAGAAAAGCTTCAAAGTCTTTTTGAGGTAACCTTGGGCTTACTCCATTGAAGTTGTATTGATTTCAAGATTTGAATCTAATCTTTAGGCAAGGAACCTTGTAATTTGTTGATTATTGAAGATTACTGTTTGAAAAGTAATCCTCAATAATCAACAAATTACAAGGTTCCTTATCAGGAAATGGATGAAGGATTGGCTTCAGTACGTCCATTGGTACTGGAGTGTCGCAAATTCACCGGATGTTTCCTTAAGTGACTTCTTTTCTGCATCGATCTAGGAGAAAGAATGGAGGATCAGATGCGGATCGAGTGAACTCATTCGCTTTAGTCTTCTCTGGAAGATCTATGATTTTTAAAGATTAGACTCGCACTTCCACCCGCTCTTTCCTTTGCTTGGATTTCACTACTATGTCATTAACGTAATCCTCCAATTCTTCATGCATCACATCATGAAAAATCGCAGTCATAGCATGTTGATAAGTAGCATCAGCACTCTTTAAACCAAAAGGCGTCAGTGTGTAATATAAGTCATCTATCGAAGTTCTGAAGGCATGGAGTAAGTCCAAGGTTACCTCAAAATGACTACAAAGCTTTTCTGACCACAAGCACACCTGCAAACGACAAGTCTAAGAAGAACCAACCGGTTGAAGAAAACCACAACACTCAAACGGGGACACCTAGGTAGAAGATGAATAAGCTAAAAACCTTAACCATTACTTTCTCTCTTGGTGATTGCCTCCATTACTTTCTCTCTTTGTGATTGCCTCCATTACTTTTTCTCTTTGTGATTGCCTCCTCTATATTCTCACTATGAAGAATAATATAATGAGGAACACTTACATCAATCATTGTCCAATAGTCTTCCTACTTAGCTTACGCAAAGCATTATCATCTACCTTTTCAGCTTATGTGCAATACCCTCAATGTGCTGGTACAAAAGAGAAAATCCTCCATCTTTGTTTTCCAAATCAATCAATTAGGTTGGGGGGTTTAATTATGGTGTTGGACTTTTTTCCATCTCTATTTACACAAAACCACAAGACAATCGGATAACTGAGCTCGGATTAAGTAAATTATGGAGTCCTTTATTCCACACAGCAAATATCTCTTTGTCCTAAATGAAGAGAATATAGCATTCAATAGAAGATTATTGGCTCAACAGACAGACAAGAGAAGAAAACAGAAAGAAAACCTTGCCAAGTGATGTTAGTCCATCCCTCAACTTTGGAATGACTAACACATGAACAGGAGCTTGTGGATTGATGTCTCGAAACGCCAAGACCTTTTCATCCTCATATACTATGGTGGAAGGGATCTCCTTCGCAATTATCTTGTCAAATCTGATGTGGAAGCAAAGCACAAATAATTAGAACAGCATTGACTTTCAGAGAAAAAATTGTAGAAAACAAGCAACCTGGAAGGTTTGAAGTCTTAAACAAAACAACATAATTACATGAGTCATACTGAATATGCATTTATTTCTTCTTTTCCTGATCCAACTACAGGTTACCAAGCACAACAAAAGTCGAGGTTAATCAGAAGTCAAGTCAGAGATCCACTAGACTAAGCTTATTCCACTTCACTAATACCTCTTACTTCATATAACCCCATTGAAGCTCTAGCTCTTCTCATCAGGACACATCCCTGAACAACGAAATTGTGCTTCTTAGTTGGCACATTGACCGGGCCACAGTGTGCCGCTGAACAACTTATGCTTTTTCCCAGTCAACACCTAACTCTAGGTCTATAGACTCTTGAACTTAACTTCAAATTAACTTGCAAAACTTTGAGAAATAATAGTATATTACTGTAAACTTTGATCAAACTTACAGAGAAGGAAAAGACATGCAAAGGAGAAAGAAAAGAAATCTGTGGTTGTTGGCTAATATTTGGTCATAATGAAGAATATGTACATGAGAGAATATAAAATCCAATAAACAAAGAAAAAACTAAACTACTTACTGAGTAAAGCATATGTAATTATTAACAGTTACAACATCATAAAATGCATGTCTTTACCTAAGATTGATTGAAAAGGTTTAATAACCAACTACTAAGAAGCTTAAGCTCTAGAGAGAGTATAATAAATGTATTTTATATACTCGACACAGCCCCTCATATGTAGTCCTAACTCCCTATCATGATTGCACCAAATACCAAACACATGCATGTATTATAATCATAAGAATCTCTTGCTTTGATACTATGTTAACAACCAACCACTCTAGAAGTTTAAGCTAATAAAACCAAGAAAACTTGAGTATTTAATCCTTAAGAGAGATGTTCGGGTAGGGGTATTCTAGTTGTTCTCTTGTAATAGGATTTTCAATATATTGTTTCTTGTATTTAGTTTTTATTATGATGGAATATTAGAGTAGCAGACGTCTTTTATCTTTCCTTCTTCTATGTCTTTGCTTCTTAGTTTAATCAAAGCTCAATGTTTGTTGTTCTCTTCCACTTCTTCTTTGGAGTTTCGTGTCTTTTCTGATATTGACTGGGCATATGCCATGGACCGTAAATCTATGTATCTTTTTGGGTGATTCCTTAATTTCCTAGGGACGCAAGAAACAAACCCTTTGTTGCTCTTCCATTGTTGAAGCTCAATATCGCGTTATGGTTACTACTACGTCAGAGATACTATGGCTAAGATGGTCACCTTTCGATCTAGGAGTTTCTTTTTCTGCTTGTACTGCAATATGTTGTGACAAACAAGAGTGTTATTCAGATTGCACATAATTCTGTTTTCCATGAGAGGTCCAAACATATTGAGATTGATTGTCATTTTGTGTATCACCATCTTCAGTTTGGAACTATTTTCTTACCATTTGTTTTTTCTACTATGCAATTGGCCGACTTTTTCACAAAGTTGCACAATACGTTGCGTTTTCGTTTTCTTTTTGACAAACTTTCAATACTTCTTATTGTCACATCATGAGTTTAAGGGGGGCATTAAAATTGTATTTATATTTATGTTTATTTCTCATTAGGGGTATTATAGTCTTTCTCTTGTAGTAGGGTTTACTATATTGTGTCTCTTGTATCTAGTTTTTTATTATGATGAAATATTATAGTAGCAAACTTCTTTTCTCTTTCCTTCTTCAATGCCTTTTCTTCTTAGTTTGATCAAAGCTTTCAGTTCGAATCATCTCAAAATTTTCTTGTGGGAATATAACTCCGGTTTTATCCTTCCAAATTGTTCTCCCCTCAATGGCTATGCAGTTACGGTCTCAAAACACAGATCTCTCTCTCTCTCTCTCTCGCTGCACTTAATTCACACACACACATGAGAACAGACAAAGATAAACAATATAATTATACAAATACACAAGCACAACATTCTAAATACAAAAACACTTCATATCGGTGTGTTAAACCAGGAAGCAAAAGGCACAGAGGGAAGTATATTCCACTGTGCCATTCCATATCTCAATTTATCACAACCAATAGTGAGGAGAAAGCCGAGCTTGTCTTTTTGTAAAGGAATGTATTGTCGTGCATTAAACCATCTCAAAATCTAAAATTTGACAACGATTAACTTATGTTTTTCCAGTCATTCCAATTATTTATAGATATACTCTCAACTTTGTTGAAATTTTTCTGAACTGGAGAGTTGGAATGCAATAATGTTGCCTTTAACTTTTTCGAATTGAATAACACGAAATAACATAGACAAAAAATGATATCATGAATGTCCAAAAAAAGTAACAGTATCATCATCAGCAGAATAGAAGAATGATACATGGTAGGAGCTCCACTGTCAGCAATGGCTGCTGCTGCTTTGGCAGAAGCCTCTTCATCATTGGAAGCACTAATACTAGACATGCGCCTGGAAAGAACATAATAGATTAAATTTCTGCACATCCTTGCACTTTATTTCTTTCTAGGGGAGTGATGTAAAATAACGTTCCTTAACACAAATAGGCAGAAGATGAAATATGAAACAACTGAAAATATAATTGACATGATGTGACACGCTCAATGAATTTGAATAGAGAGAGAACTCTAGAGCACACATGCAAGAATATCAAAATTATTCTATACAACACATCGGGCTATTAAGCTAAACTATTATTCAACCATAAAAGATTAAGATTAAGATCAAGGATCAAAATATCATTTCGGTGTATTGTTTCGGTCACCTAGAAAATGAAAACGTTTCGACGTGTTTCAAAAACGTTTCGATCCGTTTCAGAAACATAATGAAAAAAATAAAAATTTTAAAATTATTTTTCTAAAACATTAATAAAAATATATCAAAATATCTTGAAATACCTCAAAACATTTTAAAATAATTATAATATTTTAATACATTTAAAAACATTATGGAATACCTCTTAATATCAGAATTTCGATTCTATCACTGATTCGTTTCGGTCTCCTTGAAAACGGAAACGTTTCGGATGTTTCGAAACGATATTTTGATCCTTGATTAAGATTAAGATTCGAAAGCCATGATATGAATCATTATTACATGCTAGTATAATTATGCCATTGCTATCTACATGGTAAGCTGCCAATAAATCAGCCATCTGCAAGATTTGCCAGAGGAATAATTGGTTATGGATGCCCACCTGACCCTCATTTTAGTTCTTTTCTAACTGTATCAAAATCAATGAATAATTAGGTAACAAGTTTTTTAGCATCAAATTGAAAAAATCCAGCTATGGTACAGGACAGGCAATATCTTTTGTAAAAATATGTAAGTTTCATCTGCTGACTACCGGGTGTCTATGTTAATGTTAGTAGTGCACTGCCAATCATTTCATCTGCATCTTGAGCCATAATATAGCTGTCATCTTATTCCTAAAAGTACCATCTTATCTTATACTTTTTTATCATATAATCCTTACGAAAGTACTTAAAAATTTCACTTCAAAAAAAAGGAGAAGGAAGGGAAAATTTTGTATCAAAGAAGATGGTTCTTTTGAAAGACAAGAAGAAAGGGAAGCATGTATGTGAGGCATAAAACCTCGTTTGAGGGACCTTGAATCAGTATTAATCAATTACTTTAATACACACTTAACGACGGCAAGATCCAAATACAGTTCGCAAAGATGTTTTGTTGATAATCTTGTGTAATCCAGCAGTTTGGGTAGTTCTTTTCCCTAGCTACCCAAGCTCCCAAAAAATCATGTTCAATGGAGATTCATGGCTGGCTTAACTACTAATAGAAATTTCCAATCTGATGGAAGCTCAATACATGAGGATTCTGCCATTATGAAGCATGACGAGAGTTAAATGTACGCAGTCCTACCTTCACATTCACGGAGACAATTTGATAAAGAGCAAATGAATTTATGGATCAAACACTTACCTGTATTCCATAAACTCAACATTTTGGTGCACACGTTACAATCATGGAAATAGTGCACTTATTGACACTGGCAATAAAAGCTAAGATACCTATGCTGCTACAAGAAAGATTAACAAGACAAGAAGAGCCACAAGACCCTACACCCTTCATAGTAACGGTGGAAACTTGAGAATTGCAAAAAAGGCCAACTCTAACAACAGCAGATGAAACCCTAACAAAAGTTTTCATTAAACTTTGATAGCATTGATGAGACGAATACCATGATCAAGTTTTCCACACTAGATCATGAGTGGAATAGAAAATAATAGCAGTTCTAACTAAAAACTTGATATAATACTAAGAATTGTAATAGGAGTAGGTGAGCATAACAGCAATTTGCAAAGTTAATCAAACAGATATAGATTTAGAACATTCTCATATCTTCAACCCCTTCCTTTGAACCTGTAATCCAAAATATTCTAAATTGGATTATATTTTATTTGTAACACCAAGTTAAGAAAACAGCATTAGTTATTGATTTATTCAGACTCAAATGTTAAATTCATTTATCAAATAGTCACAAGTGCCAGTTAGCAAACATGGCCATCATTATTATAGTTATAATTGGGAAAAGGTCAAAAGTCTACATTCGGGGATTTTTTGGGCTTTAGGTCCAGCCTGCACACTTTTAAGGTCAAAAGTCCACAAAATCAGAACTTGACAAAAATACCCTTAATTAAGGATATTAGTTAAATTCATTTTTCTCATTCTTAAATTTATTTCTCTCTCAACTATCTTTCACCCCCACATGCGAAAGATATTTATTTAGACTTACGAATTTTGAGCAAATTGCACTTTCCACCCTAAAAGATTTAAGAATTCTTTCAAAGATTAGATTTCTCACATTGCGCCCTAAATGCATTAAAAGTATTGTAATGCGGTCCTTCCGTTAGTTTTCATTGCTTATGCTGTTAACTTTTAATAGGATGATTTTTTATGGAATAAGCAACGGAAGATTCACATTGCAATACTTTTAATACATTTATGATGTAATGTGGGAAATCTAATATTTGAGAGTACAAAATGAAAAATCTTAAATCTTTCGAGGATGCGAAGTGATATTGCCCTGCAAATTTTGGATGATCTTATTGGTTTGGTTTTGTGAATTCAAGATAGTGATCTAAAAATAATAAACTAAAAACACTCTCAACCACTATCTTTCTGCATATATGTGTTTTGTTATATATATACACATTTGTGTGCGTCTGTGTTTTCCACTTTTTGAATCGATTGTTTGGTATATGAAAGTTTGTGAAGTTTACAAAGTAGGGGTAATATTGTAATATAAAAAAGGAGAAAGATTAGTTTGGACGGACAAAAGAATGAGCTGAGCTGGACTAAATGATTTAAAAATTCCTTGTCTAGACTTACTAACAAAAAGATCCTAGAATTAGACTTTTCAACATTTTTCATTTATAATTTTCCACAAAGATGGATTGTGCAAATGAAGAGACCAACCCCCAAATGGAAATGTGAACCCAAAAACATGGAGTATCCCATCCCTTGAGAGATGTGACTTTTATACTCGATAATACCACCGACACTCGATACTGAGTATAACAGAATTGGGTGGCCATAAATTTTTTTCAACAGCCCAAGAAGTTTTTGATAAGAAACAAAACTTTGAAATTTGTTTCATCAATTTGGGGCATTTCGATTTATCTCTTTTTCCGTTTGCCTTTATTGAGGAGATGTAGAACAAGTTCACTTACAAATAAAGTAGCAACAAGCATCTCCTTCTAATAGTTAGCTTTCCCCATTGTTCTCTTTGTTTAAGATGAATATTGTGCAGATTTGAGACAAATTTCCAGCACTGTTTGCTACACTAACGCCTTAGTCTCAAATTATGGCTTTGGAATAAGAATCCTACTTCTGGCGTTCAACTCTTAGTCATGTTTAATATCAAATCCCTCACATGTATCTTTCTCTTTTTTTTTCTTCTTCTTCCCAATTGTTTTCTTTGCTTCCCCCTATTTTACCCCAAAAATTATACTTCTATTTCTTCATCAAATGTCCTTGGAGAATTATAGATACCCTAGTTCTCAACAGTAATTGATCCTTCATACCCATCTCAAACTAGCAAAGCCTTGTCCTAACTATTTAGAGTCATAATCTTGCTCTGTCATTGTCCTCGTCTATGTGAAAACTTATAGCAAATTAACAAACAAGAAAAGATATAAGTAAAAGAGCGCAAAAGAAGTTTGTTTCTCTAGTATTCCATCATAATCAAAAACTAGACACAAAAGACACTATATATAAAACTCTATTACAATAGAAAGACTAGAATACCCCTAATGCTAAACAAATATAAATACAAATGCAATCTTAACACTATGGTTATATCTTCTGTTACACAACAAACTATCATACCTTCTTTGCAATCTTAGCCAACATTAATTTTGGTCTACTTGTATCCCTAGCATTACCATTATTATGTATCATATCACTTTTTCTCACTAGTGCAATTATAGATCTCTTTGAACATTTTTAGATCACCTAAGTTGATTGTGTCTTAATTGTTCCTTCAGACTTAATTCTGTCAAATGATATTGAGAATAATCCTCAAGTTCTAACAAAAAAATTGTCCGAAATGGATTTTAAAAAAAAAAATATTAAGCCAACATATTGGCAAGGCAAGGCACTACATTGAATCTCCTGATTCATATTGTTAGGAGTTGCATGACAAATATGCCCTACAAAGAGTAGGTTGTAGTTGATCTTATCCCACCGTGATGTTAGCAGATATGTGCTGGCCTAGCCTATTAAGGTAGCATATATTCTACCTTATTTAGTCTAGCTATGTATAGAAAGTATATTGTATATGAGCAGTAGATATGTCTATAATTAATAGGAGCTTAATTTGGTCAGTTACTTACCTTGCATATACAGATGTAATGGCTGATTTTCAGCCTAGTAATTAGCCCGACAGTCTCTATATAAAGGAAGGAACTCTCACAAAGAGAGATATTCAAACCATATAACATGGTATCAAAGCCCCTTGTTTAAATTTTTTTTTTCCTCTCAGTTGCCTGGGTTCTTAGTTTCGTGGTTGGGTTTCTTCCTCAAAGTATCAAGGCTATCGGAAACCACTCTATAGGTTTTGTCAGTAGTTTTTGTGTGAATTTTGAAGGCTCATACTTGGTTGTTTGGTCTCTTTGTGGGCTGTCGGCAGTTTCTGTTGAAAGTTTTTGGTATCAGAATTGTTGGGCTATCGGAAATCTATCAATTTTCCGTGCAGCTCTCTCTTCCTTTTGGTTGTGTTCAAACGTTGAGGTGGGCCTTTTGCTTTGTTGCGTTGGGTTGTGTTTTTCAGCCACTTCTCTGAATAGTCAATTGTTCACATAAATTGATTTTTAACATAATTTTTCCAGTCGTAATCATGTCAGGCAAAAATTCAATTGTTTGCTTTAATGGCAAGAATTACGTAGGTTGGGAATTCCAGTTCAGGATGTTTGTGAAAGGGAAGGAA